GAGAATGTCATGGCAAAATCGTCAAATTACCTTCAATTGTGTTCCAAAAACCTTGAGTGTGTTTGACGTTTCGAATAACAAATTTTGCCTGAAAAATATTTCTAACTAAGTATGTCTTTTTAAAAATCTGACATTCGTTCAATTCTGCCGTGCTAAGGAAGAACGCCGTATGAACATTCGAGAGTTGCCTAATTTCCTTCGATAAAATGTTTATTTCTGAGGAAAATTATGAATATTTTTCCTTGAAATTTTCAGATGTTTTAGATCAAATTACAAACAAAATTTCGTGTCGGGGAAATCAGGGTAATAACAGTGAATTCAATTTTCCAAGTTCTGTCGCAACCCTGAGTGAGACTTTCCGATAGACTTTTCCTGAAGTCATAATACAATGAAAATCAAGAAGATACTGGTGAGCAGATTCAAAAGCTCATATCCAGACGTAACCTCTTTCTCCAGACGTTTAAGTTCAGAGTTCGGACTCGAGCTAGTTTAGTTAATGGTCAAGTGCCTCGATTAAGATTCACTCACGGGATTTCCGGCTACTCGCTTTGTTGCCACATTTTAAGCTACATAAATGACGATTCTTTTAAGTTGAGACGCTGTTTTTTCTCTGTTTAACTATGCTAATTACGACAGTGAAACTACCAAACCACGGATCTTGGTTTGCGACGTTGCAGATTTTCTATCGTACTTCATTTTTTCAACGGAAAACCACTCAAAGTCAATTCTTGAAAACTTCTTGACTTTTCCTCTTTCCGCTAAGAAAACTCTGTAAAAACCTCAAGGAATAATATTTATTTATTCTCCTTCAGAAAAATAAAATGGGGGCGGAGATTTTTAAACACCAGACATTTTTAACAACAGCCACTCACGCGAAAACTAACTGAAAAATTGCAGGAAGACACGCCGTCGATGGGGGGTCAATATCAAGAAGACATTGAAAAAAGAGAGGTGCATTGTAATAATGTTTACATGGTCTTATCAGCTCGGCCTTTGCGCCTTTTAATGACCATATAAAATTAATGACGCAAATAATTCAGCACCTGTGCCGAGAAGCTATTCTTCTAAAAATGACCACATTTTGCGATTGTTTCATCCTGGGACCATAATGACCTCTGCTGCTTTCGCTAACCCTCAATTTTTAATGCTTATAATGGTAATTGATAATCTTGATTGCCAATTTGTAACTTTTTAAGTGATGAGCATTACAATAGGGCATTTTATCGGAGGACTTGTGGTAATATTCAGTGGTGTGGCGTGCTTTGCGATACATTGATTGCTATGCCATTTAAACCTATGAAAAAGGATCGACAAACAGGGTGTTCGCATCCTTATTGATGGATTCTTTACCACAGCTTCAAATGGGGAAATATCGATAAAATCGGTCATTCACGCCTCGACACTAGTATAATATTAGTGTAGAATATTCAATCATCTAGACGTAAGAGGAATCAATTTATTGATTATCAATGTATAAATTTCCAAAATTAATTTTTATTTTGCCTATTTTCTGAAAATTAGAACGTCAAATTAAACTGGACGCTTTGCTGAATTTCCCTGTGAAAAGTGCCGTCGCTTAACCATAAACGTGCGGAAAACTATTCATGGGAGCTCTAGAAATGGTAAACGAGGGATCGATACATGCACCATTAAAAGGCTTCACAGCTACATTTTTCATAAGAAGTCTTGGTAGAATGGCGCGTTGTCACTCACGTTCCAATTTTATTCTGAGGACATCACTAAAATTAATCAAGATATCAGCCGTTTATGCACTTCAATTGATTAAGGACGAAGAGATCATCTCACCACTGCAAGCTATAGTTAAAAAACACATCCAGATTATAAAAAGCAGCGTTATTACTGATAAAAATACACGCGCACGCATGGACATGAATTCAAGTAATATAGATTCACTGTGCATGGGACGCTTAAAACGCCTTCAACTAACGAGATATACTTCACGCAAGATACGCGGTACGTAAAGACTCGATGTCATATCATTGCCTTGAGTGACTCAAGGCAGTGAGACTCAAGTTGAGTCTCATTCTCGAGTGTAGGTTATTTGTGAAGTCTTTGCTCACAGTTTCTAAAGAATGTTGCGCACAAAAAAACTCACACATGTTTTTTAATTTTTGGCTATGAGATTTCGTCGAGCATACGTGAGCGTCCAGTCGTCCATAGGAAAAAAAAGCCTCCAGTTCACAAGTAAAACCGTATCAGGCGAGATAACGAAATAATATTAAAGAGAAAATCTTAAAAAAATCTAGACTTTAGAGACCTAATAAAGCTTGGAGGTTGTAATCTGTCCAGGAAAAGCTCAGTAAGAGCAGTATTTTGACCTAATCTAGGTAAGTTGCACTGGATTCAACAATCATTCCAAGAACCAATTAATGTTATTTATATCAGTAGTCTCGCTCTTTCATTGTGTAAAAGCTTCTTGCGAAGCGGTAGTTAAGTGAAGATCCAAGGCTGGAAGCATTTTCCAAGAAACTGGAAGAGAAAATTATACCAAATGTTGCCGAATGTTTTGCAATTTTTACAAAGGAGCATGGATCTTGCGGTCGACTGTGAATTATATACGCAAATCTGAAAGTAATTTTGAACGTGGACGTTGATCGGAGGAAATAAAATTATCATGATGAGTATACCTATACTTTTGAACTTTGTTGACAAACTAATCTGATTTTAAAAAGAAATTATTGGTCATATTTCTGAAGAAACTTTAATCGTTGAGTAAATTTATCAATCTTGGAATGAAGTCACGTTCTCTCTTCCGGAGAAGAAAATTTGTCGGTCCTTTTCACGGAATAAAGAACGTTATTCCACGCAGAATTGTTAAAAAAGGTAAACTAAAACTTACAATTTTCACTTGAACCAGAAATGGATTGCATTTTGCAAATAGGAACCAGAAGAATTGCGATGATGCGAAGATTGTGTAGTTTCATCCTTTGCAATAAAATTACTAAAACCATGAAAAAATATGAAATTTACGTTATAATTTTGTCTTAAATTTACAGTTTTTAGCGAGTAAAATAGAAACTGTTAATGAATAATCAGGTTCATCCAAGACAAAAGAAGTTGCACAATCTTAGCAACATTGCAATGCTCCTGGCTCCTTTTTGCAAAATGCAATCCAAATTAGGTTCGGTCTGAAATCGACTGTGAGTGTTTTTGGAGCTCCGAATGATTTTCCATTGTGTTTGGCAGCGATGCTGGTCGTATTAGATGCCTTGTAATCCATACTAGTGTCCGTGGGGACCTATCGTCTCTCTGACGCATCTGAGCCCCAGAGCTGTAAAGGAATGAGAGTTGTTAGATCCATTTTTAATGAAGAAAATCCTCAAGATTAGTTTCAGCCTTTCAGAAACTCATTTTAAATGAGTTTTATCGATCTTAGTTGAAATTGCTGCCAGGAAAATTCGATGAGATTTTTCCTCTGACTGCCGCTGGGTATATGCAGATTTCACCCTTGTCCAAAGTACCCTGGTAAAAATTGGCAGTAGAATGTGTGTTCCAAAATACTATAGACCTAAAGCCGGCTGTAAGATTTCCAATAGCTTCTGTAGCCGGCTGTACAATTTTTCATAGCCTTTTATAGCCGATGGCGATTAAGCGACAGCCAGACGATAAAGTTTTTGCTAAACGTTACTAAATACGGATACTATAGGACTTAGTTAGTTTTTGGACTACCGCTCTCTTTTTGTGCCGTAGTATCTTGATTTATTTTGCGAGGAAAGCTCCGTACTTTTGAAGGATGCCTGTCATTCTTTATATGTTGGAGCGCCTTTAATTTCTTATAATACTGTGCAGTACCTCTGGTGTGAAATAGTTGCTTCAGACACCGTGGCACGCTGCGGCGCGGCCGGCGCGGCGGGCGGGCAGAGAGCGCGAAACGCGCATTGGCGCCTACAAACCTAACAGGGATACTTCACGCATTGCAATGCGTGAAGTATCCCTGTTAGGTTTGTAGGCGCCAATGCGTCGCCGCGCAATGCGTGAAGTATCCCTGTTAGGTTTGTGGGCGCCAATGCGTCGCCGCTCCGCTTTAGGTTAGGCTCTAATATTTAATCTCGCGGAGTCAGCGTTTTTCAACCCATGATTTTGAAATGCTCTGCTTTCTACAGCCAGCTATGTATGGTTTTTAATAGTCTTCTTTAGTTGGCTGTAAGAACTCCTATGGTATTTTGAAACGCAGCCCATATCGCCAATTTTTACCAGGGTATTTTTAAAGTGGACACTGTGTGAAGGAATACAACCAGGGGTAGAGGAGAAGCGTTTATTTTGATACGAACTATATAACCGATAATGACACGAAAGATACGAGGTATGTAGTTCTTGTAGAAGTTACAATATTTAAAATCAAATTTGTTTACATTAAAAAAAAGAAAGAAAGAAAAACAAATCAAGTACTGAATTTGCGACAAGGAGGAAGTGCACTTGATTCACAGAAATTTTCTGTAGCAATACGAGTACTAACCATCAAAAAACAAGTTTGAGGGTTTTTTGTTGGTCATTGAATAGTGGAGAGCTAATTTAACGACGGGAGTGGTTAAATTACCATTTTTTATACCATCATATTACCATAACCATTTTTACCAATTTTTTATAGTAAAATCTACATTGATACACGTCGGGCATTTTTTCGACTAAAAAATTGTTACATCAGCAATTTAATTTTTTCCGTGCTCGAAGAGCACATTCCATGACCAATTAATTGAACGTATTTCTATCAAACGGAACTAAGCGCCATCGGGGGAGGAAGGGAGAGGGGGGCTTGGATTGGCGGCGAAAACGGGCGTCCTGCTCGTTCCGTCCTATACTCCCAATGCTTTTCCATGGCGCTTAGTTCCGTTTGACAGAACGCGCCATTCGGGATTCTAAATTCCTCAAAAGGAACTCAAATTGACGCTTAATTCCGTTTGACAGAAATACGTCCAATTTATAGACTTTGCAGACTTTATAGACTTTTTTCTAAGACTTTGTTGTGCTCTTTGTTGCAGTGGTGCTGACGTTCATCAATTGCTACTCTGTGAAGTGGGCGACCAGGGTCCAGGACTACTTCACGTACGCTAAACTACTCGCCTTGTTCGTCATCATCCTTGCGGGAGTCTACCAACTTTTCCAAGGTAAGAATCGCACTTGAATCATTACTCGCGCTCGAGATCGAGATCGAGATCGAGATCTCAAAACCCCGATGGTTAATCCGACGTGACTCAGGACGGACCGTATCAGATTTCGGGAGCTGTGAAAAATACAATATTGCTTCTGTTTTGCCTCGTTTTTTTGGCGGTTTCGATGAAAGTGAGAGCTCACGAACATCGTGCAAATGGCCGCGGATGCAGCGGGCACTACTCATCCGACGATGCCAACTTATACTCGTGATGCCGTTATCTACACTGAAAAGAAAGATGGGTAGAATTTACTATTCCATCTCGCTGTATCACACAGCGTGAAAGAATGGTAAATTCTACCAATCTTCTAGTCGACTCTGCCAGAGGAATGGTTACCCATACCAGTATGTAGTATACCTTTTACCTTCCCTCTGGCAGAATTGACTCTGAATTAACGCTGCACTGGAAAAAAAACACATTGTATCTAGAGTCCAGACTCTTGAAAATATTGACAAGAAAAATACTCCTGATTCAATCGGATTTTTGCTTGATCCAGAACGAAATCCGCTTAAATTAAGAGGCTTGGTTCTTGATTTAAGCTAGATTCTGATTGAATCAAGAGTATTTTTTCTTTTCGATGTTATTAAGAGTCTGGACTGTAGATACCATGTGTTTTTTTTCCAGAGTGGGTTGGGTCCTTTTGGATAAACTCGGTCCAATTGTGCATATTTTTTACAATCTCATGAAAAATACAGACTTAGCTAGTTTGCCACGTTCGGCACTGGACTCGATTTAAAATACCTCCAGCCTTGTTTGCTTACCTATCATTTGCCTTACAACGACAGGACATAAAACTGCAGAATCCGACCCTCCTACTTTTCCAGTGCTTTTCGGAAATGATTTTAAGACACGATTCAATCGTTTCGGAGGTACAGCACTAACAATAAAATTATATCTCCAATAATCTGCTCTCAGTCTCGAAGAGTCATTTACTATCAAACCGGGGCAAGATTTCAAGAGATCTCAAATCAAATGTCAGAGGCGTTGATAGTCTTCGCTCTGAAATTTGGCTTCCGGAGCATTAAGCTGCATTCTTGGACTCAATGGCTCCATGAACTCTTCTCTTGATTGAGGAGTCATTTGCAGGGAGCTGTTCGGGGCGTCTCCTGTGAATGTCTCATCAGGAGCCGTCCGTGCGGGGTGAAAACTGGGTCAGAAAATACTCGGGGGAGAATATTTTCTGCTTCTCTTGGCTCGATTCCGACAGCTTTTCTATTATACACCACTGCACAGATGAGGATTTCCTCGCCCGTAGGAACGGTCTGTTTATAATTTCCCTTATTCTTTTACGAGATAACCGCGATTCCTGTAATTTTAAAGGACCGCCGCACAAGGGATTGAGTCAATTAGAGAGGCCTGCGGGCTGATTATTGAGATTTATAGACAAAGCGATAGACAAAGAAGACATAGGGAGTTTGGAGCTATCCTATTGGTTAAAATGGGTGAGTCCTTTAGACTGAGGGAGAAAATGATGGAATAACTATATCGGGTACCTCATGGGTTGTCGTTAGTTAGTCTATTGCCTACCTTCTTTGTCCATTGCAACCAACCGCTTCCACCAATAGGATCGCTCCAAATCTCTATTGTCTTCTTTGTCTTTAGCTTTGTCAATCAATTTCAAAAATCGGCCCGCAGACATGAAATTTTTTACTAGAACTGCAAATTTTGGTGTTTATTCCGTCACATTTTACATTTGAAGGGGTGCTTTGGGTGGAGAATTTCACGAGAAAAGCAATGGAACCACTTTTAGAACCTCAAAGTTTTGTATAAACGGAGTTATAAGTGTTAAAAGTTTCCACATTTTGTCCGACCTCTCCTATTGACTCGATCCACTGTGCCGTTTCCTTTAAGTAAAATTCGGTTGTTAAAAAGGAGCAGTTCTCACGACTCCGGACCGGAGTTGTGGGACTCCAAATAGTAGTGAAATACACTACACTCAAAAGAACTATGAACGCATGAAAGGAGTGAAATCAACTACATAATGAAAAAAAATCCGGCCCTGGAAATCGTACTTACGTGCTACATAGACATACCGTCCGCGTTCCGGGCTCAGAGGCCGAAAGTTCCGGGCGTGGCACCCAGAGAAATCGACGCTACGGCTCCAGCACCCGGAACTTTCGGCCTCTAAGTCCGGAACGGATGGTATGTCTACATAGCCCGTAACTTTTTTTCAGTACAGTTTAGCATAGTTCATTGAGCCCCGAGTGATTTTAATACACGTCATTTTAACTCGCACTGAATGAGAATTATATGGTCTAAGAGTAAGAAGTAGCGAAATAATCTCTAAGTTTTTTAAAAGTGCATCGCTTCATTGCGATGCTGATTGTCGCAACAAGAATCTTAAGCGGACAAAAAGTATTCTGTAACGCTGTAGACTTCCTGGCGTACCTAATTTTTTAAATGGGAAGTACTCAACATCATTATTTTAGAAATCACCGGTGCTTTGCAATCTACTGGTGATAAATAAATTAAGATAAAATTCAGGGAAAAAAGCGGATGGCAATGTATTAAACTGTAACGAGGGTGTTTGCTCCTTGAGCTCCAGCTGCTAGTGCTACATTTGCGTGTGCGTATAATCAAATCAGTGTCTTTGGTTGGATTAAGGTTGGATAGGCAACTAAAGAAACTACGTGACAAAGCGTGGAATATCAATGGACATTGAAGGCGCCTCAAACCGGCTTCATAGTTTTGAGGTAATGTACCAGTGAACCTTCATTGTTCCCATGTGAATTATTGTAATTTATCGAGACAATTCACGAGCCGCTTGTAAATTGGATTGCATTTTGCAAAAAGGAACCAAGAGGGTTCCAATGTTGCTAAGATTGTGCAACTTACATATATATATATATATATATATGAGTCGCTTTTATAGCGCTCTTTGGCGCTGTGCGACGCCTAATCGCCACAAAGCTCGGTCTTCCCACAGGTCATCAGGGAGTTGACAATCTCTTATCTCATTTAACACCCCCTGTCGCCAACCTCTCACTGGGCGTCCCCTACGTCTCCTCCCAGGAGGAACCCAATCAAGCATCTTTTTTGGCAGCCTCTCTTCCGTCATCCTATTGACATGACCATACCAAACAAGTTGTTTGGTCATGACGTCGAACACGATGTCATTTTCGACTTCCATTATCTGACGCACTCTATCATTACGGACCCGATCTCTCCTTACATTCCTTACATAACAACTACAGCAACTACAGCTTACTTACAGCAACTTACATTCCTTGCAATAAAATTACTGAAACCTTGCGAAAAATTAAATTTGCTCAGTTAATTTTTGCATCGAATATATAGTTTATTGGGAGTGAGGATAAAGCTTTTGTTTAGATGATCCATTCATATTTACAAGGTAAGAAAAGTTGCACAATCTTGGCAACATCGGAATGCTTGTGGTTCTTTTTTGCAAAATGCAATCCAATTGTTAATGATTACTTGGATTGAATTTTACAAAAAGGAACCAGGAGCATTCCAATGTCGCTAAGATTGTGCATCTTATTTCACCTTGTGAATATAAACAGATCATTTAAACAAATTTTATCTTAACTCCCAATAAACTATGAATTCAAGACGAATATTACCTTTAAATTTAATTTGCGTCGTGTTTTCAGTAATTTTTTGCAAACAATTTAAGTTGCACAATCCTAGCAACATTAGAATGTCTTGGTTCCTTTTTGCAAAATGCAATCCACTTATTGCCTGCAACACATGTAAGTCGATTACAAGACCCGCAAAAGCACGCAAAAATAAACAAAACCCCTTTCCCAGAAATTCAACGATTCCTCGAAGGTCCTCGAAAACCAAGACCGCATCAACCACCGACCACAGGCATGCACGCGGCCTGCGCGAGCGGACACTGTCGCGATAATTACCGTCTAATTACACGCTTATCAATTACATAAACGTGATATTAATTCGCCGGGCAGCAATGACATCGTCGCGTCGCTGCTGTCGGCTGTCGGCACGGATCCTCATTTCCAGAGCTGCGCATGCGCAGTGCGCACGTCGCGTCGCGTCGCACCCGACCCGATCTGCGCACGCGCTCTAATGCATTAAATTGTAGCTCTGCCCGCCCCGGAAACGCACCGCGCCAGGGCTGCCCAAACTACGCGTTCCGTCTGCGCTCTGATGGACCACTAGACAAGGCTTGAATGTCAGCATTCTGATACTTGTTTCTTGACTAAAATTTTACGTAAAACATGATGCGCCCAACGAAAATTACCAATATCAACTCCTTACGAAAAGATTTAATGATTCTTGATGCGTGAAGTCAAACCACCCGCTCATGAAAACTCAATGCTCTGCGTGATCACATCGCGCGCTAAACGTTATCATGACAGTCTCTGCGGTATAAAAATCTGGCAACCTCAATCTTGACGCTTTAGCTCAGCTATAGCAAATTGCTTATAGTTTGAACAATACATGGTGGGAATTAGACATTGGTTGATTGAGAAGCTTGCTTAAACCGTTGTAGTGCGCGATTTGACTCACGCAGAGCTTTAAGTTTCTTGTAAGCGGGCTGTTCAAAATCCGCGTGACCAATGTGAAATAAAAAGATTAATATCTTTAACTAGGAGGTTAGGTCTTTAATCTAACTAGTCGAGTTAAGAGAGAAACCAAACACTCAATTTGGCCTGGAACGGTGCGACTTAAAGAGAAATGATGGCCAAGACTTGAGATGAAAAGGAGAAGCCCTCGGCGCGGCGGTCGGCATGTAACACATATTAGCGCCTACAAGACTGCACGAATACTTCTCGCATTGCATCAAACACAGTGCGGTCACTACGGTCAGCGTGAAACGGATAGCGCCTACAAGAATGCATGAATACTTCACGCATTTCGCCAAAGACAGTGCGGTCAGCGTGAAACGCTTAGCGCCTACAAGACTGCGTGAATACTTCACGCATTGCGTCAAACACAGTGCAGTCGACGCGGCGCGTGGCGGAAGTTAAAAT